GTGAAACAAATATCCACTGCAGGACTAAAACAATACACATCTGTAGCTATTGTAGTGAAACAGATATCCACTCCAGGACTAAAACAATACACATCTGTAGCTATTGTAGTGAAAAAGATTTCCACTCCAGGACTAAAACAACACACTTCTGTAGCTACTGTAGTGAAACAGATGTCCACTCCAAGACTAAACCAATACACGTCTGTTGCTTTTGTAGCGAAACAGATTTCCACTCCAGGACTAAAACAACTGTAGCTATCGTAGTGAAACAGATTTCCATTCCAGGACTAAAGCAATACACGTCTGTTGCTATTGTAGCGAAACAGATTTCCACTAACTAAAACAACTGTAGCTATTGTAGTGAAACAGATTTCCACTGCAGGACTAAACCAATACACTTTTGTAGCTATTGTAGTGAAACAGATTTCCACTGCAGGACTAAAAGAACACACTTCTGTAGCTATTGTAGTGAAACAGATTTGCACTCCAGGACTAAACCAATACACTTCTGTAGCTATTGTGACGAAACAGATTTCCACTCCAGGACTAAAATAACTCTAGTTATTGTAACGAAACAGATTTCCACTCCAAGACTAAACCAATACACTTTTGTAGCTATTGTAGTGAAACAGATTTCCACTCCAGGACTAAACCAATACACTTCTGTAGCTATTGTAGTGAAACAGATTTCCACTAAAGGACTAAACCAATACACTTCTGTAGCTATTGTAGTGAAACAGATTTCCACCGCAGGACTAAACCAATACACTTCTGTAGCTATTGTAGTGAAACAGTTTTCCAGTAAAGGACTAAATTTTGACACTGATGTTGTTGTTGTGGTATTTTGACACCGATGTAGTTGTTATGGTATTTTGAAACCTTACCGCCGTTGTTGTTATGGTATTTTGACAACGATGTAGTTGTTATGGTATTTTGACACCTTTCCACTGTTGTTGTTATGGTATTTTGACACCTTTCAACTGTTGTTGTTATGGAATTTTTACACCTTTCCACTGTTGTTGTTATGGTATTTTGACACCGCTGTTGTTGTTATGGTATTTTGACACCGATGTAGTTGTTATGGTATCTTGACAACGATGTAGTTGTTATGGTATTTTGACACCTTTCCACTGTTGTTGTTATGGTATTTTGACACCTTTCCACTGTTGTTGTTATGGAATTTTTACACCTTTCCACTGTTGTTGTTATGGTATTTTGACACCGATGTAGTTGTTATGGTATTTTGACAACGATGTAGTTGTTATGGTATTTTGACACCGATTTTGTTGTTAAGGTATTTTGACACCGATTTTGTTGTTATGGTATTTTGACACCTTTCCACTGTTGTTGTTAAGGTATTTTGACACCGATGTTGTTATGGAATTTTGACACCTTTCCACTGTTGTTGTTATGGTATTTTGACACCGATTTTGTTGTTATGGTATTTTGACACTGATGTTGTTGTTATGGTATTTTGACACCGCTGTTGTTGTTATGGTATTTTGACACCTTTCCACTGTTGTTGTTAAGGTATTTTGACACCGCTGTTGTTGTTATGGTATTTTGACACCTTTCCACTGTTGTTGTTATGGTATTTTGACACCTTTCCACTGTTGTTGTTATGGAATTTTTACACCTTTCCACTGTTGTTGTTATGGTATTTTGACACCGCTGTTGTTGTTATGGTATTTTGACACCGATGTAGTTGTTATGGTATTTTGACAACGATGTAGTTGTTATGGTATTTTGACACCTTTCCACTGTTGTTGTTAAGGTATTTTGACACCGCTGTTGTTGTTATGGAATTTTGACACCTTACCACTGTTGTTGTTATGGTATTTTGACACCGATGTTGTTGTTATGGTATTTTGACAACGATGTAGTTGTTATGGTATTTTGACACTGATGTTGTTGTTATGGTATTTTGACACCGCTGTTGTTGTTATGGTATTTTGACACCTTTCCACTGTTGTTGTTATGGTATTTTGACACCGATGTTGTTGTTATGGTATTTTGACAACGATGTAGTTGTTATGGTATTTTGACACCGATTTTGTTGTTATGGTATTTTGACACCTTTCCACTGTTGTTGTTAAGGTATTTTGACACCGCTGTTGTTGTTATGGAATTTTGACACCTTTCCACTGTTGTTGTTAAGGTATTTTGACACCGCTGTTGTTGTTATGGAATTTTGACACCTTTCCACTGTTGTTGTTATGGAATTTTGACACCTTTCCACTGTTGTTGTTATGGTATTTTGACACTGATGTAGTTGTTATGGTATTTTGACACCGCTGTTGTTGTTATGGTATTTTGACACCTTTCCACTGTTGTTGTTATGGTATTTTGACGCCGCTGTTGTTGTTATGGTATTTTGACACTGATGTTGTTGTTATGGTATTTTGACACCGATGTTGTTGTTATGGTATTTTGACGCCGCTGTTGTTGTTATGGTATTTTGACACCGATGTAGTTGTTTGGGTATTTTGACACCTTTCCGCTGTTGTTGTTATGGTAATTTGACACCTTTTCGCTGTTGTTGTTATGGTATTTTGACTTTAATAATAAAATCCAGTGATATCTTTGTGTAATTCCTTATCAACTTTTGTCGTTGAGTTTTGTTTTGCTATTTTAAATTGTTCTTTGTTGTGATATCAATTGTCGTTTAGACTCCTCTGTGGACTGTGAAATATGTGATGAATTATATGGTTTATAAGGAAGTTCCGTTTTATACTGTGGACGAACACCGCTTTCTGCTACTTTCACTCTAAACCGACCAATCAGGGACTTGTAAAAATCAAACTCGGCCAATCTTGATAACACTATTCGAGCTACGTACTCATGAAAGAGACCAAATCAATCTACCAAGATTTGTTAAAATTTTGCTATTACTTAAAAAACTATGACATAAAGTGTATTTTCGTTTTTCAGTATACAACAAAGTGTGTTACAATACGCTTGTATCATAACGCAGGTTTCACCTTTCTATATTTTTCTTCACATTTTTGTAGAAAAATTATGCTTTTTTCCATTTTTTCAGTCCCCTGATACCATCTTTGTCGAAGTCAATTTTATTGATGTAGGATCAATGATGATAATATATGTCACGTGGCAAATGTCCCTATTACGACATTTCATTAGCTTTCGTTTTAGACTCTCATTATCGTCAGCTCTTATGTACATACTTTTGATATTTCAGTCACTCGGTATTCTATATTCTATAATCCTTTCAGTCTTGTCTGAAATACCACTGTCACTGACGCTTGGGTGAAAAGATATATTATCAAAAAAGTAATGTAGATTACACTAATATCATAATGTGACATTTGATTTTTGAATACTTCAATATTTTCACGATGACACGATTTTACCAATTTGGCAGAAGACCTGTCGTCTCGATGTGAAGTGAATATATATAGGATATGAAGTATTTCAACGACAGTTGCTATTGTTATAACTTAAATGCAACAAAAAACAAAACAAACAAAAAAACAGGAAAAAAGATGTGTGTATGAAACACTATGCCACCGGTTGAAACAATATCAAAATCACATAGTCAAACACAGTTTGGTATCTCCGGAAAGGTCTTCACACAGGGAACACACATGCCAAACGAAAGCCCTACCTCTTGCAATGCAATAGTTATGAACAAGGTTAAAGTTGACTACAGACCAACAAACAAACAAAAAAACAAAAAATTGGCCTCGATTTTTCAATCAGGGGGCATAGAAGATTGGAAAACATTCCCCAAGCTTTGTGAATTGCTAACCAAAGTTTGGTTACCATGGAGAAAGGAATCACCAACTATTCGTCACAAAAAAGAAGAGAGGTGATCTTGGTTGTTCATTCAGTATACGCTTGTTTCTGGCGGTATGCATGATAAGTATACATAGTGGGTTACAAATGTCAATAGCCTATCTGCAGCTGAAAGCTGCTGGAGGTTGAAGTGTCCTCTGTTGTATTTTTGCTTGCTTGCTTCAGTATACATGCTGTTTGTTGACGAAACCATTGTTTTCGTTCGTCTATCCACTGTTTTAATTTCAAAATTACTTTACGTAGGAATACATGTCAATGCAATCCTCTGTTATATACAGAGACTCTGATAATGTCATTTCCTGGTAAATTCTTTTGGTTTCACTTGTTATACATATTCCCAACATCACGTGTAATTATAAACGAGATTAGAAATGTCATTCCCTTAAGATAAATGATGAGTTTCGTTTTCATGTAAATATCGTTGACTCCGAACAGTGACTTTATGCACAGTATTATAACTCGTTTTTTTTTCTGACTGTCACGTATACTCTTTATGGCGAGAAAATCAATTAATTTGTTATGAACAAATAAGTATCTGTTTCTCGTTACAGAGCTCCCGTGCCACTGATCAAGATAGATGGTATATTGATGAACTGCGGCTGGAGTGCCCAATATAGACTAATCAGTTCAAGACCCTCGAAACATTTTAAGGCCTTATAAGTGAAATTGGACATACTAATGAATCAGTGATGTAGCAGCTGGTATCTGGACCGCACCGAGACACTTGACCACTTAGAAATACAGTCTGACCATCATCTTAGTGGGTAATTAGGTATCAATGTGTCATGTTGGACATGAGTAGGGTCACAGCTGTTTGTGGAGAGGTAGGATACTTACAATTCGTAGCATAGTCGAAATATTCGATAAAGCCTATGGAAATTGCACGTTACAATTTTAATGAAGACTTTGTTCTCACAATGATTCTTGCGAAACTAGATCTAGTAACCGAATATTATTTCCAAAGGCAACGTCAACGGTTAATTACCCGCTCGGGCCATGTTAGATCCGCTCGGGCCATGTTAGATCCGCTCGAGCCATGTAAGATTCGCTCGGGCCATGTGAGATCCGCTCGGGCCATGTGAGATCCGCTCGGGACATGTTAGATCCGATCGGGCAATGTGAGATTCGCTCGGGACATGTGAGATCCGATCGGGCAATGTGATACCCGTAAATATGTAGTTAATATGCCATTGCACTTTAGTATAAAATCATATACTTGTCCTATAATTTATTTATTGGAAGATGTTCAAGCCAATCAAAATCCCTACACCGTAGATTTCCCAGCCAATCAAAATCCCTATACCCAAGCCTTCCCAGCCCATCAAAATCCCTATACCAAAGCCTTCCCAGTGCATCAAAATCCCTATACCGCAGCATTCCCAGCCCATCAAAGTCCCTATACCGTAGCCTTCCCAGCCCATCAAAATCCCTACATCCCAGCCTTCCAAGCCCATAAAGATTCCTTTACCGCAGCCTTCCCAGCCCATCAAAGTCCCTATACCCTGGTCTTCCCAGCCCATCAAAATCCCTTTACCGCAGCCTTCCTAGCCCATCACAATCCCAATACCCCGCCCTCCCAGTCCATCAAAATCCCTACACCTCAGGCTTCCCAGCCCATCAAAATCCCTTTACCGCAGCCTTCCTAGACCATCAAAATCCCTATATCCAATTCTTCCCAGCCAATCAAAACCGCAGCCTGTCCAGCCCATCAAAATCCCTATACCCCAGGATTCCTAGCCCATCAAAATCCCTATACCCCAGCCCTCACAGCCCATCAAAGTCCCTATATCCCAGCCTTCCCAACCCATCAAAATCCCTTTACCCAAGCCTTCCCAGCCCAACAAAATCCCTTTACCCCGCCTCACAGCCCATCAAAATCCCAACACCTCAAGCTTTTAAGCCTAACCAAATCCCTGTAACCGCAGCCTTCCCAACCAATCAAAATCCCTATACCCAAGCCTTCCCAGCCCATCAAAAACCGTAGCCTTCCCAGCCCATCAAAATCCCTATATCCTAGCCTTCCCAGCCCATCAAAATCCCTACATCCCAGCCTTCCCAGCCCATAAAAAATCCCTTTACCGCAGCCTTCCCAGACCATCAAAATTCCTATTTCAAAGCCTTCCCAGCCAATCAAAACCGCAGCCTTCCCAGCCCATCAAAATCCCTATACCCATCCTTCCCAGCCCATCAAAATCCCTTTACCGCAGCCTTCCCAGCCCATCAAAATCTCCATACCTCAGGCTTCCCAGCCCATCAAAATCCCTATACTCCAGCCTTCCCAGCCCATAAAAATCCCTATACCGTGGCCTTCCCAGCCAATCAAAATCCCTATACTGTAGTCTTCTCATCCCATCAAAATTCCTATATCCAAGCCTTCCCTGCCCATATAAATCCCTATTCCGATGCCTACCGAGCCCATCAAAATCCCTATACCCCAGGCTTCCCAGCCCATCAAAATTCCTATACCCCAGCCTTCCCAGCCCATCAAAATCCCTTTATCGCAGCCTTCCCAGCCTATCACAATCCCTATACATCTGCCCCCTCCCCCCCCCCCTCCCCAGCCCATCAAAATCCCTACACCTCAGGCTTTCAAGCCCATAAAAATCCCCATACCCAAGCCTTCCCAGCCCATAAAAACGGTAGCCTTCCCAGCCCATCAAAATCCCTATATCCTAGCCTTTACCGCAGCTTTCCCAGACCATCAAAATTCCTATTTCAAAGCCTTCCCAGTCAATCAAAACCGCAGCCTGCCCAGCCCATCAAAATCTTTACACCCCAGCCTTCCCAGCACATCAAAATCCCTATACCCATCCTTCCCAGCCCATCAAAATCCCTTTACCGCAGCTCTCCCAGCCCATCAAAATCCCTACATCTCAGGCTTCCCAGCCCATCAAAATCTCTATACCCAAGCCTTCCCAGCCCATCAAAATCCCTACACCCCAGCCCTCGCAGCCCATCAAAGTCCCTATACCCCAGCTTTCCCAGCCCATCAAAATCCCTACACTTCAGCCTTCCCAGCACATCAAAACAGTTCGTGGACGTCGGGATCATTAATCCGATGGTTGTGTTGTAGTAATATTCCAAAAACAGACAGACAGACAGACAAACAGAGAGTCAAAGAGAGACAGAGATAGGAGGAGACAGAGAGACAGAGAGAGAGAGAGAGAGAGAGAGAGAGAGAGAGAGAGAGAGAGGGAGAGAGAGAGAGGGGAGAGAGAGAGAGGGGGGGGGGGTAGCTTGCTACTTTTGTCTTTCCTTACCCACGCCAAAAATACAGTTATATTTTAAGACACTGACCGTGAATTCTCTATATAAGTCCATCAACTGGCGATGCCATTGTGGAATGCACCTGCCACATATATTTTTTCTGTATTCGGCAGTGACAGAAAACGGATTTTATAACGTGCGCTAATTCGAAAGAACTTACTTTAAATTACGTTTAGTATAAATAACTGTTGAAATTACCGATTTTAAAACAAAATGCATATATCGCTGTTTTATCCGTTGAAGTTTGGAGTTATATTTCTGCGTGGAGTAAATTAAAGTTTGGATGATCTGATTTTCAATAAATGTTGCAGAATAAATAGAATACATGGTCAGTGTCTTACAATATAGACTGCATTTTTGGCTCGGGACAGAAAGACAAAAGTGGCTGACCTCTTTTTTCAACTTCGCCAAAATACGACTTTTCATATTCTAAATATTATCTATATATATATGAATTTTAACGTTTGTCCTAACTAAGATGTACTGCAATCTTACAGCTTGATATTAATCAACATTTGGTAAGATATTGCCATCTGCTGCATCGTATGAAATCTTGCCATGAATTTCGGAATTCAGTTGTAATCTGGATATCACAAACATAATAGTGGCATTATAGATGTCACCAAAAAGGCAGGTTCAAAATTCCTATTTCAAAGCCTTCCCAGCCACTCAAAACCGCAGCCTGCCCAGCCCATCAAAATCCCTTTACCGCAGCCTTCCCAGCCCATCAAAATCCTTTATACTCCAGCCCTCCCAGACCATCAAAATCCCTATACCGTAGTACTCTCAGCCCATCAAAATCCCTTATACTCCAGCCCTCCCAGACCATCAAAATCCCTATACCCATCCTTCCCAGCCCATAAAAATCCCTTTACCACAGCATTCCCAGCCCATCAAAATCTCCATACCTCAGGCTTCCCAGCCCATCAAAATCCCTACACTCCAGCCTTCCCAGCCCATAAAAATCCCTATACCGTGGCCTTCCCAGCCCATCAAAATCCCTATACCGTAGTCTTCTCAGTCCATCAAAATTCCTATATCCAAGCCTTCAATGCCCATATAAATCCCTATTCCGATGCCTACCGAGCCCATCAAAATCCCTATACCCCAGGCTTCCCAGCCCATCAAAATTCCTATACCCCAGCCTTCCCAGCCCATCAAAATCCCTTTATCGCAGCCTTCTCAGCCTATCACAATCCCTATACATCTGCCCCCTCCCCCCCCCCCTCCCCAGCCCATCAAAATCCCTACACCTCAGGCTTTCAAGCCCATAAAAATCCCCATACCCAAGCCTTCCCAGCCCATAAAAACCGTAGCCTTCCCAGCCCATCAAAATCCCTATATCCTAGCCTTCCCAGCCCATCAAAATCCCTACATCCCAGCCTAGCCCATCAAAAAATCCCTTTACCGCAGCCTTCCCAGACCATCAAAATTCCTATTTCAAAGCTTTCCCAGCCAATCAAAACCGCAGCCTGCCCAGCCCATCAAAATCTCTACATCCCAGCCTTCCCAGCACATCAAAATCCCTATACCCATCCTTCCCAACCCATCAAAATCCCTTTACCGCAGCCTTCCCAGCCCATCAAAATCCCTATATCCAAGCCTTCCCAGCCCATCAAAATCCCTACACCCCAGCCTTCCCAGCCCATCAAAATCCCTTTACCCAAGTCTTCCCAGCCCATCAAAATCCCTTTACCGCAGCTCTCCTAGCCCATCAAAATCCCTACATTTCAGGCTTCCCAGCCCATCAAAATCTCTATACCCAAGCCTTCCCAGCCCATCAAAATCCCTACACCACAGACCTCGCAGTCCATCAAAGTCCCTATACCCCAGCCTTCCCAGCCCATCAAAATCCCTATACCCAAACCTTCCCAGCCCATCAAAATTCCGATATCGCAGCCTTCCAAGCCAATCAACAGCCCTATACCCCAGCTCTCGCAGCCCATCAAAGTCCCTATACCCCACTCTTCCGAGCCCATCAAAATCCATACACCCCAGTCTTCCCAGCCCATCAAAATCCCTATACTCCAGCCTTCCCAGCCCATCAAAATCGCTATACCGTGGCCTTCCCAGCCCATCAAAATCCCTATATCCAAGCCTTCCCAGCCCATCAAAATCCCTATACCGTAGTCCTCTCAGCCCATCAAAATCCCTTATACTCCAGCCCTCCCAGACCATCAAAATCCCTATACCCATCCTTCCCAGCCCATAAAAATCCCTTTACCACAGCATTCCCAGCCCATCAAAATATCCATACCTCAGGCTTCCCAGCCCATAAAAATCCCTATACCGTGGCCTTCCCAGCCCATCAAAATCCCTATACCGTAGTCTTCTCAGCCCATCAAAATTCCTATATCCAAGCCTTCCCTGCCCATATAAATCCCTATTCCGATGCCTACCGAGCCCATCAAAATCCCTATACCCCAGGCTTCCCAGCCCATCAAAATTCCTATACCCCAGCCTTCCCAGCCCATCAAAATCCCTATATCCTAGCCTTCCCAGCCCATCAAAATCCCTACATCCCAGCCTAGCCCATCAAAAAATTCCTTTACCGCAGCCTTCCCAGACCATCAAAATTCCTATTTCAAAGCTTTCCCAGCCAATCAAAACCGCAGCCTGCCCAGCCCATCAAAATCTCTACACCCCAGCCTTCCCAGCACATCAAAATCCCTATACCCATCCTTCCCAACCCATCAAAATCCCTTTACCGCAGCCTTCCCAGCCCATCAAAATCCCTATATCCAAGCCTTCCCAGCCCATCAAAATCCCTACATCCCAGCCTTCCCAGCCCATCAAAAAATCCCTTTACCGCAGCCTTCCCAGACCATCAAAATTCCTATTTCAAAGCCTTCCCAGCCACTCAAAACCGCAGCCTTCCCAGCCCATCAAAATCCCTTTACCGCAGCCTTCCCAGCCCATCAAAATCCCTATATCCAAGCCTTCCCAGCCCATCAAAATCCCTACATCCCAGCCTTCCCAGCCCATCAAAAAATCCCTTTACCGCAGCCTTCCCAGACCATCAAAATTCCTATTTCAAAGCCTTCCCAGCCACTCAAAACCGCAGCCTGCCCAGCCCATCAAAATCCCTTTACCGCAGCCTTCCCAGCCCATCAAAATCCTTTATACTCCAGCCCTCCCAGACCATCAAAATCCCTATACCGTAGTCCTCTCAGCCCATCAAAATCCCTTATACTCAAGCCCTCCCAGACCATCAAAATCCCTATACCCATCCTTCCCAGCCCATAAAAATCCCTTTACCACAGCCTTCTCAGCCTATCACAATCCCTATACATCTGCCCCCTCCCCCCCCCCCTCCCCAGCCCATCAAAATCCCTACACCTCAGGCTTTCAAGCCAATAAAAATCCCCATACCCAAGCCTTCCCAGCCCATAAAAACCGTAGCCTTCCCAGCCCATCAAAATCCCTATATCCTAGCCTTCCCAGCCCATCAAATTCCCTACATCCCAGCCTTCCCAGCCCATCAAAAAATCCCTTTACCGCAGCCTTCCCAGACCATCAAAATTCCTATTTCAAAGCTTTCCCAGCCAATCAAAACCGCAGCCTGCCCAGCCCATCAAAATCCCTACACCCCAGCCTTCCCAGCCCATCAAAATCCCTTTACCCAAGTCTTCCCAGCCCATCAAAATCCCTTATACTCCAGCCTTCCAAGCCCATCAAAATCCCTTTACCGCAGCTCTCCCAGCCCATCAAAATCCCTACATCTCAGGCTTCCTAGCCAATCAAAATCTCTATACCCCAGCCTTCCCAGCCCATCAAAATCTCTATACCCAAGCCTTCCCAGCCCATCAAAATCCCTACACCACAGACCTCGCAGTCCATCAAAGTCCCTATACCCCAGCCTTCCCAGCCCATCAAAATCCCTATACCCAAACCTTCCCAGCCCATCAAAATTCCGATATCGCAGCCTTCCAAGCCAATCAACAGCCCTATACCCCAGCTCTCGCAGCCCATCAAAGTCCCTATACCCCAGTCTTCCGAGCCCATCAAAATCCATACACCCCAGTCTTCCCAGCCCATCAAAATCCCTATACTCCAGCCTTCCCAGCCCATCAAAATCGCTATACCGTGGCCTTCCCAGCCCATCAAAATCCCTATACCCCAGGCTTCCCAGCCCATCAAAATCCCTATATCCAAGCCTTCCCAGCCCATCAAAATCCCTACATCCCAGCCTTCCCAGCCCATAAAAAATCCCTTTACCGCAGCTTTCCCAGACCATCAAAATTCCTATTTCAAAGCCTTCCCAGTCAATCAAAACCGCAGCCTGCCCAGCCCATCAAAATCTTTACACCCCAGCCTTCCCAGCACATCAAAATCCCTATACCCATCCTTCCCAGCCCATCAAAATCCCTTTACCGCAGCTCTCCCAGCCCATCAAAATCCCTACATCTCAGGCTTCCCAGCCCATCAAAATCTCTATACCCAAGCCTTCCCAGCCCATCAAAATCCCTACACCCCAGCCCTCGCAGCCCATCAAAGTCCCTATACCCCAGCTTTCCCAGCCCATCAAAATCCCTACACTTCAGCCTTCCCAGCACATCAAAACAGTTCGTGGACGTCGGGATCATTAATCCGATGGTTGTGTTGTAGTAATATTCCAAAAACAGACAGACAGACAGACAAACAGAGAGTCAAAGAGAGACAGAGATAGGAGGAGACAGAGAGACAGAGAGAGAGAGAGAGAGAGAGAGAGAGAGAGAGAGAGAGAGAGAGAGAGAGAGAGAGAGAGAGAGAGAGAGAGGGGGGGGGGGGGGGGGGTAGCTTGCTACTTTTGTCTTTCCTTACCCACGCCAAAAATACAGTTATATTTTAAGACACTGACCGTGAATTCTCTATATAAGTCCATCAACTGGCGATGCCATTGTGGAATGCACCTGCCACATATATTTTTTCTGTATTCGGCAGTGACAGAAAACGGATTTTATAACGTGCGCTAATTCGAAAGAACTTACTTTAAATTACGTTTAGTATAAATAACTGTTGAAATTACCGATTTTAAAACAAAATGCATATATCGCTGTTTTATCCGTTGAAGTTTGGAGTTATATTTCTGCGTGGAGTAAATTAAAGTTTGGATGATCTGATTTTCAATAAATGTTGCAGAATAAATAGAATACATGGTCAGTGTCTTACAATATAGACTGCATTTTTGGCTCGGGACAGAAAGACAAAAGTGGCTGACCTCTTTTTTCAACTTCGCCAAAATACGACTTTTCATATTCTAAATATTATCTATATATATATGAATTTTAACGTTTGTCCTAACTAAGATGTACTGCAATCTTACAGCTTGATATTAATCAACATTTGGTAAGATATTGCCATCTGCTGCATCGTATGAAATCTTGCCATGAATTTCGGAATTCAGTTGTAATCTGGATATCACAAACATAATAGTGGCATTATAGATGTCACCAAAAAGGCAGGTTCATACTCAATCTAGACCATTCAAAAGAATGTCAGTTGAAGGAATTAAAGATTGTTTTCTTTTAAATCATTTCTGAAAGCTCTTTTGAACACATAGTAGGACACTGTAGTTAAGTATATCTTAACACCAATTAATAAAATATGGATATATGTCTTAATACCAATTAATAAAATACAAAATACAGATATGTCGTAATACCCATCAATAAACTACGGATATGTCTTAATACCAATTAATAAAATACGGATATCTCTTAATACCAATTAATAAAATACAAAATACAGATATCTCTTAATACCAATTAATAAAATACGGATATATCTTAATACCAATTAATAAAATACGGATATGTCTTAACATCAATCAATAAAATACGGATATGTCTTAATACCAATTAATAAAATACGGATATGTCTTAACATCAATCAATAAAATACGGATATGTCTTAATACCAATTAATAAAATACGGATATGTCTTAATACCAATTAATAAAATACGGATATGTCTTAATACCAATTAATAAAATACGGATATGTCTTAACATCAATCAATAAAATACGGATATGTCTTAATATCAATTAATAAAATACGGATATGTCTTAATACCAATTAATAAAATACGGATATGTCTTAACATCAATCAATAAAATACGGATATGTCTTAATATCAATTAATAAAATACGGATATGTCTTAATATCAATTAATAAAATACGGATATGTCTTAATACCAATTAATAAGATACAGATGTATCTTAATATCAATCAATGCAATACGGATATATCTTGATAACAGATTGGAGTTCCCGGACGTTCTTGGAGATATCTGACGGTGAGCTCGGAGTTCCCGGACGTTATCAGAGATATGTGACGGTGAGATTGGAGTTCCCGGACGTTATCAGAGATATCTGACTGTGAGATTGGAGTTCCCGGGCGTTACCAGAGATATCTGACTGTGAGATCGGAGTTCCCGGACGTCATCAGAGGTATCTGACCGTGAGATCGGAGATCCCGGACGTCCTTGGAGATATCTGACGGTGAGCTCGGAGTTCCCGGACGTAATCAGAGGTATCTGACGGTGAGATTGGAGTTCCCGGACGTCATCAGATATATCTTACCGTTAGATCGGAGATCCCGGGCGTCATCAGAGATATCTGACGGTGAGACTGGAGTTCCCGGACGTCATCAGAGGTATCTGACCGTGAGATCGGAGATCCCGGACGTCCTTGGAGATATCTGACGGTGAGCTCGGAGTTCCCGGAC